CAATTTCTCAATTTTTTAGGGGAAGGAGGGACACCGAAACACACTGATGCACACGTCCGCCATTGACATCGATCTTGAGCAATGGCTTCCAAGGTCTTCAGCCAGCAAGTATCCGCATCACTCGGACCCCAAACCAGGTAGTCGACAACAACCGGCCCAGGCCAACCGTTTTGTCAGCTTTTTCATGCGGCTTCTCCATGTTATCGGCTGTCCATTATGCAGTCTCTTTCAGTCCTCTCCAGCAACCGCAAACAACGCACAACGCGGGTAACGCTGGACAGGCCGGCGCAATACGTGTCCCAACCACCGCAGCTGATGCAGTAAGACGAGCTCCTCGAGCAAGTGGCTTCCTCGTCCCAAGACACGCTGTGTAACTTCCACATTGCTTACGTGGTGCTGCCACCACACACGGGCAATGGACCGCAGACAGCTGTGCTCGAAGACGGATAGCCTGCGCAAGTCATCTTTACGAATGGGTCAGGTCTCGCATTCGTACAACAGTACAGCAAGAAGAGCTGCACAATAGACCCACCCCTTGATGGAGAGCCGAATGTCGTGGTGACGCCACAAGTGCTTCAGCCTAGAAAAAGCGAGGCGTGCTCTAGAGATGCGCATCGGAATCTCGTCTCCAACAGCCCCGCCAGCAGTGATGCAACTTCCCAAGTAGACAAACCTCTCCACAACCTCTGGTGTCTCATCACCAAATGTGAGTGCAGGCCAGTCTTGGAAGACAGCGTTGCATTTGGATGGCGAAAAGTACATAACATATTTTGATGCTTCAATCGCCAAGCGGTTTAGTGCAAGTTGGACGACGTGTGTATCGTCACCTAACAAAACGATATCATCAGCATAATCCAAATCAACAACTCGACTACCCGGGAGGAGCTCAATTTTAACGTTCAACGAATCGCCCAGAGCGTTCTTTAGGACATCCTCAATAGCAAAGTTGAATACGAACGGAGAGATAGGGCATCCTTGTCGAACTCCACTGGAGACCACAAAGGTAGACGAAAGCTTGCCATAAGCCTTAACCCTGCCCGAGGTCATACTATAGAGAGCGCGCAGTATGGAGACGAAGTTCGCGGGGACACCATTCCTCAGTAGGCAGTGCCACAGTACCGTCCGATCGACAGAATCGAAGGCTGCACGGATATCCAAGGAACACAGCAATCGTTGGCCTCTGATACACATGGCGGAGCTCGAGGATCTGGCGGAGTGTGAAGATTTGATTGATGCAGCCGCGACCAGGGCGAAGCCCAGCTTGTTCTTCACGTTACAACGATTCGCGCGTTGGGGATAGCCTACGAAGTATGATGGACATCAGCAGCTTGCAAACGACGGGGACCAAGCCAATGCCTCTGTAGTTGGAGCAGGCTGTCCGCAGGCCTTCCTTGAAGATGGGACGACTATCGATTCACCCCAAGATGATAGAACTTTCTCTTTCGACCAAAATTTCGAGAACAAAGCAGTGAGTTATCGAACCAACGAAACGCTACCATCTGTAGATAGAGTTGGAGGAAGAGCATCAGGGCCGGGGGCTTTATAACGCTTCATGTGCCGGAGCTCCTGCTCGAGTTCCTGGTAAGAGGGAGGATCTGTGGGGGTAGACCACTCGGCCCCAGCGCGAGCGCCAGAGGTAGCAGATGGAGCTGGGAGCCAACAAAACTGCGAGCCAAAATGTTCGGCCCATCGCTCCAACGTCGTTGAAGATTGGTGATTAAGGTGCCATCCTCTTCGCATATTGTTTCACTTATACCAGATCGAATACCTTCGGTGACTCGAATGAGATGGAAACGTTTTCTGGTATTACCAGAGAGACTAGCAAGCTCCATCTCCCTAGCAGACTCACACAACCAAGCTTCGAGGTCCATTTGCAGACACCTGCGCAACTCAACCCAGGGATTGGCGTTCTTCATTGCGACTGGAATCCGACGGGATCATACGGCGTTTGTCAATCAACGACAAGGAGACGGTGGAAATCTAATGCTTCGGAGGGTAACGGGCAACTCCATAAGTGTTGATACTGGCGGAAACTAAGGAATCTTTGATCTGCGCCCACTGCGAATCGAGGTCACTGTCAATAGTTGAGCAAAGCATTGTTGACAGTGAGGCTTGGTACCTGGTTAAAATCGCAGGGTTTTGTAGATTTGCGACGTCCGGTCGATAGTGAGCGCGCTTGGGTGATCCTCCGAAACGCATGCAAAGCTTAGCACGAACCAATGCGTAATCGGAGTCTAGATAAGTTGACCAGTACGATCGGCAGTCCGTTACGCTTCCGCGCCATCTGTAGCTGATTGCTATGTGGTCAATCTGGGAGCACTCTTGCATTTGTGAGGGCGGGCGCCAGGTAGCAGTGTCTCCTCGAGTGCCGAAAACTAGTGCTCAAAAGAAACAAGTGATGATCAGAGCAAAGAGCGAGCAGTTTGTCTCCATTGTCTGATCGACTGCCACCGAGACCAAAATTACCCCCAAGGTAGCGCTCGTTTGGTGGAAGGCGGCCCACCCGTGCGTTAAAGTCCCCGGAAAGAATGACTGTACCAGTCTTTTTGGGGGAACGTAGAAGTTCATGTAGCTGCTGGTAAAGGCTATCTTTAACTGCATTCGGGCTGCAGTCTGTAGGGGCGTAGGAGACGACAAACAAGGCACGCTTAACGTCTCGACACCTTCTTACATTACATGAACCTCGTAGTCTGACTGCACATAGCAGACTGTTGACTGGGATCCAGTCAAGCAGAGCTGATTCAGCCCTGGCACTCAGTGCCACCCCAACACCAGCTTGGCCAGTGGCGGCAGCTTCTGGGTCTCCGGAAAGCCACAAGTGGTATTTGGCGTCAGGGTTTACCAGAGAGGCCATTCTGATGACGGTGCTTGGTCTCTGAAAGTCAACAGATATTTACCGAGAGCGTTTCAAGAGTATGGGCCAGATATGCTTGTCGTCCGATCTGCATCAAAGTTCGAACATTAAACGCTACGAGGATGAATGGAGAACCAGGTCGAAGAAGAGCTGGAGCTTCGGTGGAGTGAGAAGCGGTTGCGATCGCAGGACATTGAAAACCGGGAGTCTGGCTGTTACATCCATCAGTTGAAAGACGTGGTCGTTTGTGACGGTGACCGTAGAAGCAATGAAAGTACATATAGGTGAAGGACGGGAGGCGGGGTGATGTGTGAGTGGAGGTTGAGCAGTTGAGTTAGCATAGAAGATATGCATAGCAAGAGCAGTAATAAGCAGTGTGCTCCATGATTCGTCAGTGGGCGTGATACTACCCGGTTGCCCAGGCCGAAGTAGAGGGTTGTCATAGGGGGCCCTACTCCGAGCCTTTGATCATAGATCTAACCTACAAGGCAGCAGGGCGATGTGAGGGCGTCGCAACCCGTTGGGAGCCGGTGACCAAACAGATGGTTCATACGCCTTTCGGTCCGTGAAGGAATAGGGGTCCAACACACACTTGAATTACAATACCACTCAGAGAGAGGCAAAGAAAAGTGAGTTTATTTAGTGGCGAGTCACATCCGCCAATCGCAGTGTGTTAAACAGACATTTGTGGCTTTTATAGGGAGAACGCTTGCCAGGCGAATACCCACCACATCCTGGAACACTGCCGCCTAACCATTTGCTGGAACGGGAAAAACCCGAACCACCCAGCTGGCACCACGAGGTTGTTCAGGAAGCCAGCATGTGCATATATCGATCTGTTTACCGTCTCATCAAAGAAAAATAGTCAGTGTTAAAGTTTACACATGAGGAAGTAACGCGCACCTGAAACGCAATAAGGGCTCTTAGCCGAACGACGTAAAGACAACAGAATACGTCTAGCTGGCCGCGTGCAAATGTGTATTCTGATCAGAAGGGGTAGAGCATCGATCAAGTAACTGAAGCCCATCACTCGTGAGTAGGTGATAGCTAGACAGACAGGCGCACACGGTGTGAACGCTGATTGGAGCTGGTAACCAGTACGCCACAGTCCGATGATTCCATGGGGTGAAATTGCTGCTTATACAATGACCTTTTCTCCATAATTGTCCCTTTCGTGCAGAAGGTGAGGATGTTCACTTGCCCAGAAACGAACATTTTGCTTATTCACTACGCCTTTTAAATAAAAATACACCTCGTCGGTAAACCAGAGAACGTGATCCTCTAGCATTAACCATTAAGCGAACTGATGTCTTCGTTGCTAGTCCACTTCTGTTAATTTAGGGACAAATGTTAGCTTGTAAGGGAACATTTAAAGATCAGAATGCGAAATCCTCTGTATGGACGGACGAGAAACCCCGAGCTTAACAGCTGTCCTATTTGTTGATTTGCTAGGACCTCGTGTCAAAACAACACGAACTAATAAAACACAAGGTAGCGAAGAGTACTCGTTTCGATAAATCTCATCGGGCCTTTACATGTTTTCAGGGGTACGGACACTTAGTATGCGTCGTCGACTTTTCTCCACCACAGAGCCAGTTATTTCAAATTGACAATATAATTTTTGAAGATACTATTTACTTGGAGCCCATTTTATACGAAAGTGTGCACGAAACGCATTTGTGTCACTACAAAACTCCTACTTTCTGTAAAAAATATATTACAAGTTTCACCTTCTGTTCAATGTTCAATCTGCCCTTATGCATCATGGTGAAAATTGTTTTTGGCGTCAAGAAAATATTCCATACTAACTTCTCGTGACGTCTATCGGATTTTCCACAGAGCAAAGTGTACGAAAACAAGTTTTCAACATTACACCTATAATATAACATGTGTAATGAACAAAACAAATGGTAAGATATTGCGTGCGCCACTCTGTAGGATTATAAATCTTGACACATTGCGACGTGTGAATTCGCGCATCTAACAGATTGACCACTTAACGTTCGAATTGCTCATTCACGTGAATAAGTCCAGCTCAGACCAACAAGCTCAACAATTTTCACGATGCGATGGCTAAGCTACCTATGATAGCACAAACCATGTGCGTACAGATGACATTAAATCCAGGATGGAAGAAGGTAAGTAACGTTTCTTTCGGTGTCAATTTGACAGTGCCGATTGGTAGAACACAAATCAAGGGAAACGCTGAACCTCTGGGAACATTTGACAATTGCTGACATGCTCACTGTACCTCAATAAGAAATGATGCGGCGGCATACACTGTGTTGCTTAAGGCACGCTTGCGGGTTTCGTAACGCGCCGGTATCGTTTGTGAGAACTGAATGATCATCGACCGGTCACCGCTGTACCCAGTCACCGAGGAATCGGCTCGCCGCTCAGACCACAACCTCAGGCTGATTACTGTCGATAAGACGATTAGTCGCTCAGCCAAGTCCTGAACAATCATGAGCAGGAAACATCTGTCAATGTAAGCCCAAGCGAAAAGTAAAACATGTCCTCGATGGTGTTTCCACTCCAAAACGAATAAAATAAAAGCAGCTAACAAATATTTGGTGATACATCCACTTAATAAACAAACCATATCAGTAATTTAGAGAAGTTAGTTCCATTCAACAACTTAAAAAGCACGGTAAGAAGACGAAGACTGGTAGATGCAAGCATTTCGTATTGTCTCCTCAGTACCATTAACAATAACCGATATGCATAGGTATAGCTAGCAGTGGGTGCAACCAGACAAGCTTGAGATGCAGAACGAATGACGGAAGTTCACACCTACGTACAATACAGCTTTAGGCTGACAAACAATTGTTTCTGAACACACAAGGCTAGCTTCATCCAGCTTACAGCGACAGCCCCAGCAAACCGAAGGAAACGGGGATTAGGGTGACGTAACACAACTTTAAACGCTGAGCCCATTCGGTGACTCGAGTCTAATAGGTGTTCGCCTATCGAGCAAGCCGGCGATCTACGCGAACATGGAATCTGACGAGGGTAGGTAATCTGAGCAACTTCACGCTGAACCCATCTTGGTACATGCTCCTTTTTCCGGGAAGTCAACGTTCTATTGGTTCTACCTATGTAACTGCTTCCGCAGTCACATACAAATTGGTATACACAGTGTGAGTTGGCCCCAATAGGCTGAGCTTCCTTCGCTAATATGAGCAAATTTCGGGTTCGGTTGATGACGACAACTTGTGCAGCATAATAACTTCCTTGTGTAACCGAAATTATACCATCAGATATCTTCAGCGTAGCGAAATCACCTTTGAAAGGTAACTCGATATACAATTTCTTCTTGGCTGCCGTGTGCACCAAGTCATTTGGCCCTCGCGGTTGCCTGTGTTTCTCGATAAATCTTCGAGGGTAGCCGTTCGCCATTAGTGTTGCTGTAATTAGCACTAGCTCATCGTCCAGACAGTCGGCCGAACAAATTCGTCTGGCACGATTAACTAGGATCTTCACAAGTGTCCGTCTGTATCGCACTAGTGTGAAGCTGGTGAAGTGTAGGTACTGATCAGACCAAGTTGATTTTCGGTAAATGGACCTCTTAATCAATCCATCATCCCTGCGACTTATGAGCATGTCCAGATATGGCAGACAATTGTTCTGTTCTACTTCGCTGGAGCTAGGCTAGCGTTTAAAGTTGTGTTGCGTAATACTAATCGCCGCTTTCTTTGGTTTGCTGAGGCTGTCGCTATAAGCCGGATGAAGCCAGCGTTGTGTGTTCAGAAACAATTATTTGTCATCCTAAAGCTGCTTTAGACATAGGTGTGATCTTTCGTCATTCCTTATGCACCTCAAGTTTGTCTGATTGCACCTACTGTTAGCTATATCTATGCATATCGGTTATTATTAATGGTAATGAAGAGACAATACGAAATGCATGCATGTACCAGCCTTCGTCTTCTTTCTGTGTTTTGCAAACCACATCAGTGTCAAAGAAATACTGCAGTATGATTTGACATCGGTTTGGGGTATTCATTGATGGATTTCATACGAAAAAGACATAGACACTAATGTTGCGATGACCAACAGGCACCGCCAATCCGGTTGATGCTCAAGATGTTGGGGGTCAACAGTGGCAGAAACAGGCCCATCGTTTTATATGATATCAGTATCAAAAAATCATATGCGAAAAGTTAAGGGCCAAGCTCGTCTGTCATGGCAAAAAAATGCTCCAAGTCAGTTTGGAGGTCTAACAGCAATAAAATGGATTGCTGTGAATCGTAAGACTGTGATCCAGATGACTGGTCCCATATACAAGGATAATACAAATTAGGCATTAGGATAAGTAAAACAAGAAATAGAGCCTGACGTGGTAGTCAAAGTTGCACTCACTCAAGTGGACGCAATTTACGTGAGTCTGAAGTTGGGACTTTTTGGAAAAACGTTTCTTACAGAACTCACAGGAGTAGGCTCTTGGTTCTGGAACAGAAAGTAGGCGGACAAAAAAGAGCAGAATATCAACGAAAAAGCGAGGTGCAATTAACAGCAAGTCAAAGAAAATATTCTTGTGTTTACGTCGGCGACATATCCAACAAAACGCACAAGTAGGTAAGCTGATGGCTGGCAGTGGAAACGAATCAAAATGTCGTACAAAACTTCCAAACATCAAGATAGCCAATCCTGTGACAAACATGCAGGAATAATGCACCTGCAAGCTAGTTTCTCAGTCAACTTTTCTTGCAGATGCGCCACGTCGCCAACTGGTCATCACATCGTTTCGTCCGGCCGCACTATGAAGGCGGTCAAAGGCTACACGGCGGAAACGACGTAACGGAGCCAAAGGGTTGAAGTTAAACAAACACCCCAGTGCGGTACCAGAGGATTCTTCTAAAGACCAACAGGTGGACTTCAGTATTGCGAACCCGGTGCTCCCAACTGATATTAGCAATAATCCACAAAAACTGGTTACTACTGCCTTAATGTTTCCAAGGCGAAGCGAACATCCTTTCGATCCACGCTTTGCAAACACTACGCTTGAGTAACAGGACGAAATGCTAGGGTTACTGCAGATGATCAAGACTTTGAAAAGCCACAACGTATTCGACGACACTTGAAACAATTGCAGATCGATCATGTGTCATGTAACACTGTGAGAGTCAAGACGAAATCTGGAAGATGATCAAACCTGTTATGATCTACGCCTGACAGCGATAAACCATGTGACCACTTATACCATCAACGCTTCTCACGTACATTTGCCGGCACGCGCTGTTCGTCTGTCGTAAAGGGTCAATGTCAAGCATTGTTAGTCCGGAGCCACGCCGAGCTTGGTTCATGCTAGGCCGCAGTTGTTCTGCGTCGTCAACACTGCCCGTGAATGCGAATGTGTAAGTAGGTCGACTGAGGTTTTCAGAAGCTCAGATAGGTAGTAAGCATGGACTTACCTCCGACCGGACGGACAACGGTGAACGTCTGTTGCAACTGGGCACGGAAGAGCGGTTGTTTCTTAGTAGCACCACTTTTAAACACAGTAGGCGCCGAATGACCATTTGATGTCCACCTATAGCTGGCCAGCGATGGACCAAAGTTAAGCACGTTGCCGTGAATTACAGGTAGTGTGGTTCTGTAGTGGACTGTCGCTCGTTCTGAAATACGTGCATTAGTAGGATGCCGGGTTTCCGTGAACTCTATCGGTAGACGTACCAAGCGCATCTCTCAATTGAGAACTGAGAAGATATCTCAGCCCTCGTTTAAGAAATTCGCTTACTTGTTGCATCTCACCAGATATAAACCTTACTGGAAGTCGATCCCAAGACGGCATTGTCACCGGGAAACCCCAACTTTCTTCTGTTTTATTTATTAACCTCATATATTCTACTTTAATTCAACTTCTCATTCCCACGCCTATCTATTCATAATCGCAGACGCGTACCAAGTTTCCTCGTAGTTAGCTCCCAAACTACGCGTAATTGCGGGAGCTTGCATAGCCCTAGGACCTCATTGCTGTTATTACTCCCCTTATTATGCTTAACTTCCTTTGCTTAAATCCGGCTTGCTTTATTTGCTCGATAATAAACGAATTATCTTAACGGGATAGTCTGCGGTCCACTGGCAGAAATAGTATGAGACCCAGGCCTTTGTGAACCCAGTTTCTCTTGACTTGGTCCCATTCCGCTTAGCTTTTATCTGAGTTAAATGCTCGCCAATCGCTATTGGAAAAATTGGCTTACAAGCAGCACGAAAAAGCAGATTCCATTTTTCGGCCATTCTTACATCTTTACCATTTCATATTCGCTTGACTAGCTTGAAAGCTTGCCATGTGTCAGAGTGCCACTGCCATGTCGGAAAGCTGGACATCCAGGACATTTTGATCACCACTTCATCTTACCTTGGCCATCACTACGAAACTTATCTTAAACCTGGCTCCAATTCCCACTATGAGCTGATGAAACTCATGGGCAGCGGTGGGTGGACAACTAGCTCCTACATTTTAAGACATCGTGCTTTTCTTAGTGTATGATATTATCCATTCATTATGCTTGGCGCAATGGAACAGCCAGAACCAGCAAAACCACAACTGCTCTTGCGCACGATACATTCGAGCTTACCTTAGCCGAACCTCCACTGATAGATAGTGACCCACCTACATCAGACCTACAAAACAGTAAAGGGGAGCCTCGAAAATGGTATAATGGTGGACGCTTGGTGTAGTCAAATACGAAGAAAACCTATATTCCCACCTAATTCAATCCCAAAGTCTTACAGCCATGGTCGTCAAGGCCCGCTAACGGTCTCAGTGAAATTATCGGTACTACAGGCTGCTTCCTATCATTCCTCTTCTTATCTACTTACTTTTGTTGGCCTAAGCCTTGTATCTCAAGAGTAAAGTGGACCGAAGCCTTTTGTTATCTAGAACGTAAAAACTGTGGTAGCTTTTGCAGTCTCCAACACCTCAATTGCAGGCAAATGAGCTCATATTGGCCAAATGAATATTGAGCTGACCTTTTGTCTCCATGCGGTCAAGGCTCATGTTGCCCAGGTCTATACACTCGACCACTTGAAGGTATAGAAAAAGTAAATGTTTCCTTCATTGCATTTCTCTAAGTTTCAGTATCCTCAAAAGAATGTTCGAGTGGCTCATCTTACCATGGACTAATTGAAACGAGTTCACAGATACTGCGTTTACGTCAGCTTCCACATCGATCGTTTAGCATGATCGCGAAGTTACACGCGTTAATCTTATTTTTTATTTTCAATTACTTACGCAAGAAAAACCATCGCTAC